GGCGAGTGACGGAGTTTTGTTTTCTGAAATTGTTCCCGTGTGAGCCTAGCAAACTGGAAACTGTTGAACTTGTGCCAGCAAGGATTTATTTTTTAAGTATGGATGAGGATCAACAAATATTCCTTGTAGCAGATGTTCTGGTGGACTGCTGAAGTGAGTCATGTAGTAGACTGGAACACATTTTGTGCCCTGCGTAATTCATCTGAACTAAATAAATGCTGGTGGCTGGAAACACAATGAAAAATGCATGTTCAAATCCTAAAAATGGAAGTATGTGTTAACTGCAGCTATTACTAAAATTAAATATTCTGATATATGTGGAAGCTATGAGCAACAATACTACCCATTAAAAGCTTAAGGTTGCTTTTTTCATTTCACATTGATGAGGATAGGAGAAAAAAACCTTAGCTTTGAAATACCTGTAATTTGTTTACGTCTCGGATTTGCTTTATCTTTAAAATATGTTTTGCAGAAGCTCTTTGGTTACTCTTTGTGTGTCCTGACAGTTATTGAAGGCATAAATACTTCTTCATTTCCTTGCATGCACACCTGTACTGCCCCAGCACTGAGGTCCAGTCAGTGCACTACAGAGGGGTGCATTCACAGGTTTTCTTCCCCTCATTCTCATCCTCAGGTTCCTTCAGCAGCTTCTGCAGCTTTTGTACTGCCTCCACAGTGTGGTACTTTGTTTATCACTCATTGCTTCTCTCTCAGATATGTAGGTAACTAGCAAGCAGACGCTATACCTATCACAGTATTCTCCTTGACAGTTTTTAATTGCTGTGGTATTAGTTCTTTCATCCGTAAATCTTTTATTTCAAATTTTGGTGGGACGATCTTTCTCTGGGGTGCTCCAATCATTACAAGATTTATGAAGAGGAGGACTATTTTTTTAATTCTTGAACAGCTCAGTTAGGCTCATGAGGAGAGCCTGTACACTTTGCTCACCTTCTTAGGTAATGCTCTGAAACTGAACAAAGCTTGGAAGAAAGTTTTTGAATTATTGACTCTCATCCTCTACAGTTTTTGTCAGCTGTACAGTAGGTGTTTTGTTCAGAAGAGCAATGGAAGGCATCTACTTCACAAGCTCCTATAGGCCATGAAACACTACTCACCATTGTGTAATAAACCTTGGACGTATAGTGAAAGACCAAAACTGTATCGCATTGGTGCAAGAGATGGGGATAAAGGGACCTGTCAATTTGTAATGTCCTACATCTGTTTACTAAAATTTTGGAACTTAGGATTTTCTATAGAGAAAAGCAACCTCCCTTTTTCCCTTCCTTCCATCCCACCTTAACATTCCTTGACAATCTTAACTGTACATCCTGTCTCCAAAGATGTAACAAAGGTGGTTGGTGTAACACCTGAGAACATGAGTAAAACTTATGAATTAGGCAATTTTTGCCTTTCTGAGTAAACAATTCTTTGAAAGAACAAACAGTTTACAGTCAAGAAAGAACAATCAGATTTCCTTTTAACTCTTGACATATTAAAAATACTGAGTACAGTAATTGTACAGAAAACTTCAACTTCATAAATCACTTTAATGGCTTATGCAATCAAATTAATTTCACGGTTACTTCAACAAACATATTAAGTTTTGCTCTGGATTAGTTCCAAAACTTGCACAGTAGAGTAAACCTGCTTTTGTCACTTGCTGTTCTTGGAAAGTGGTTCAGGAGAGAAATATGAGAACAGTGACTAAAGTCTAGGTGTTCCACTCCCTGCTCCACCTTCCCTACCCCCCCACCTGCCATTTTTTCCATCTTCTTGCTCTTAAATGTGGTGGAAGTAGTTCAGACAGATGCATGTCTCTTATTCACATACTGACAGCTCATATATCAGCTTTGGATACTGTTGTCTGTTATATAGCAGCATGTTTTATAGCAGTGTATGATTCAAAATAACGTGGCTATTTAAAAAGACTTCCTTTTGATCTTCTCAGTCATATTTGACTAGTGAGGATCAAAAGCCAGGATTTATTTTTTTCTGTCAGAGTGTGTCATACCACCTGTTCCATATTGCCACTCTTGTGATTTGTAGTTCTTAAGTGAAAGTGTGTGAATATCAAAGAAAGTGAGCAACTAGCAGGACTTTGCCTTCAGAAAGTCTCTGCTTTGAAGTGCGGTCCTTCCCTCAATCTGAAATAATCTAAGTTTTTTGACTGCAAGGGCGTATATTCTAGTTGCCTTAATTTTCTTAGTCTTAAGGAAATGGGAAAGACTTGGGGACAGTCTTAAGTGTTTTTGATGACATGCTATTGTTAGTTATTTTTTGATAAGGTGGTTAATGGCTATGGGGTTTGCTATGTTGCTCATTTCAAAGTTTTAATGTAATTGTTTCAGATCACCTGAAAATAGTACTAAGACGCAGTAGATGTAGAAGTTTTTAAGTTAGAAAAGACACCACTTCTGTAGTTTTTAAGTATATTTATTCAAGATTATTTGGAAATCAAGTATTAAATCCATTTAAGCTTCTATTAAATACATTAATTTTATGTAAAGATTATTATGTAAATATCATTTGGGGTAAATATGGCAATTTTAAAATTAGAATAAGTTTCTAGAAGTACTGTTTTCACAACCATGTATACTTACATCTGCTGTTTACTCAGAAGTCATATATACCCTAGCTACCACTTGTCTGTGTCTTAGCAAGCAGAGACCAAGTCTAGTCGTGAGAAAGTACTTGTTTCCATATCTGTTCTGCCCTCAGAATCTCTCCTAAAGATAAGCAGTAAATGTAGTGATATTTCTCTGGTTCTTTAATGGTGGGTTTTATTTTATTTTCAAATCAGGACAAGAAAAACAAAATGAAGAAAACAGGACAAGTCCAAAATTAGACCTGTTAAATATAATGTAATAGAGTCAAAATTACTTATAAGCTACTTGTGCTGGACAAAAGTTTCTAGTTGTTTTCTTTCAGCAAGCAATGACAAATAATCTCAAATGTGAATTTATTTTTTATTGTCACTTTGAGTTAAAATATTTTACTCTGACCGTGCATTTTAGTATAGTGTTATGTACAAAAGGCCATTAACATTTTTTACATTATAGTTTTGTATGGAAAATGTCAACCCACACTGAATTACTAGATTTAGTTCTTCACAGTACTTTAGCTTTTAATGAAGATCCTGTAGAAATGTTTTTAGAAGATGGAAATTTGAGAGATTATTTAGCTATAGGTTACCTAACAGTTGTGTCAGTTTGAACAATATACACGTTGTTGAGAATGTTTGTATGTGATAGAGGTATTACTGAGAAATTGTGATGAAATATGAGATATTGTGTCTGTGACATAGATTTGTGAGTGAAGAAAAAATTCCTAATTTGACTACATAGCAAGTTGTCCTTCCTCACCCTCCTTTTGGGCCTAGGAGGTCTACTGGGATCCTCTGCCAGATTGCTCCACCTGCAGTCTTAATTTAGGAAGGTTTTAAATAGTAAACTGTAATTCAGGTTCCAGCTAATTTCAGCAGAAACTGTTGAGAAAATAATGTGGATCCTTTACAGGATCAAAAAGTGGGAACTATGAAACAGAGGACACTGATTTTGTCTTTCAGATATATTCTTTGCTGGTCTGGTTCTGCCAGAAATTATTAGAGATAATTTTTTTACAGTCTAAAAGCTTCATAGCAAAAAAAAATCATACCAATACTATTATTTTTATAATAATTATTATTATTATTATTAAAATCTCTCAGTGTTAGATTACTAAAAGAACAATATACCTTGGAAAAAGGCTGTATTCAATCCTCTGTCAGAGGTTATCACAATTTGTTACTGATGCTTTAGTGCAGTTCCATGTTACATTACAACAACATCATTTCCTGAAATCAAGACAGCTTT